AGAAGACTCAAAGAGAGGAAGGATTAGCAATAATTTATATACAGTTCACAGAATATTAAAGCGGTAAAAGCAACAGTTAGCACATTAGGCCCCAAACATGTAACAAAATCAGATAAAGCCAAATATAACAATTTATCTAAGCTCGAATTCTGAACCCTGAACCAAAAGTTCTGGGTTCTTGTCCCCAGCAGAGTCGCCAGAGCTGTCACACCTCCTTTTTCCTACACCCGAAGGAAGGGGTATAATAAGGGAGTTATTTCCAACTTGAAGTGACAATCGAAACGGGGTTTATTTATTTAAAGAATTCAGAATCGCCACTTGGGATAATTTATAGTGTCCTAAGTCACTGGTTAAAAATCCGAATCGAGGAAGATTTGACTCTGTTATACAGTCTGCGAACACAGAAATTCGGGTAAGGAATTCTGTTAACCCGGAAGAAGGTGTTAGGCATTCCCGAGTTCCGTGGTTCTAGCACGGTTGCTCAACTGTTATTATTGGCCTAATTATCTAATTTTAAACACTTTTAAACCTATATGCATTTTTAACTTTATAACCGCTTTTATTCATTTTAAAGAAGATTTTAACGTCGCCTAAAATATGTCTTTGGACCGCGCCACATGAAATGCACCCGCAATCTGAAACATATTTTATTCAACGTTATTAAGATTTGGATTTGGGTCACATGAAATGCACACCCAAGTTTAGGGAAGTTAATTATTGAAATAACGCGCCTAAAGCAACTACGCGTTTTTAACTTTGCGAGGGCCACGGAAAATTTGCTAAATGGCACGCCTCGAATTCTAAGGATTTTTAAAGAAATAATTAAATGAAGGTCATGCATTTTTAGATTTTGTTTGGCATGGCACGCCTCAATTCCAATTTTGAAGAGAATTCAAGCTACATTTGGAGGGCCATAAACTATTTGTGTCATCTAATATAGCTCACCCCCAGCAATTAAAGTGGATTACATTTAAATAATAAAAAACTAAGAAGTTCAGATTTAAATTAAATTAGATTCTGCATACATAGTTATGAGCAGCCTATGCAATTACTACATCGGCCCAATTTTGGAAAGGGAATTGCTCCCGAACTCAGGTAACAATAGCCAGGCAATTAAGGGAATTGGGCTCAAGGTAAAGCCCAAAACCAGACTGGATCAGCTAAGAGGCTTCAGACGTCACTGGGCCAATGACAAAGGCCCAACTGCAGGATTCATGGCCATTACTTGAAACAAATTACGTTCTTCATGAAAAACCTTAAGGCTAAACAAGTACTGACCACTTTTGCCAATCTTAAACGGATATGAAATGTATTTTTAATACCAAATCATATTCTATAACAGAGATGCCATACATGATGTTATAAAGCTCACCTACAGTTTGTTTTACCATTTAAAGTATAATAGCATTCATGACCTCTAACCGAAATATCGACGTGATTTCAAAATGGAATTACTAACATGGATTCAACATCAAAAATGTAAAAGGGAATGCGACATTGAACCCAGCCTATCCTCAACAGGATTTCAGAAGAATGCAATTGCTAACATAGACTTAACCTTGACCAATTCCAAACATGGGATTCAAGACAATTAATAGACTCATGGAAACATTAAATATCACAGATTTTTTTTTACTAGCATAGTAGTCCAATCAACCCTCTAAGATGACAACCTTAAGAGCCCTTAAATTGATATCATTTAAGCAAAAGTTATTGACTCTTCAAATACATCAACTAGTGAACCCAGCAGTAGTATACCATGCCATTAGATCTCTAATGCAAAGCTAAAATTCATTCAAATGCACTTGAAACTACTGAAATAAAATGAAAGTCCAATTTTACAACTACAGACCATTGCATGACATTCATTGAAATTATACCAAGTTTAAGGAAAACTGCAAACAAGCTGATCAATAAACATCAAACCACAACAAAATTACTCAAATCAGACTTAAAAAAAATTAAAATCTGGACATTTGAACACCACTTTTCATTCAACATCCACATTTTCCATTGCAATGATTCGAAAGTGTACCTGGATGCAACCAAAATAACTACAGAATATCAGAAGAAGAAGATGAGATCAGCAGCAATCTAGCAGCAGCAATTAGCAGCAAAACAGCAATTTCAGTCCACTTTTGAAATCCAAAACCAGTAAAATGTCAGATCCTTTTCAAATCCCAGAAAATCAACCACAACTTCTAGTTCAAACCATTTTTTTTAAACTCCAAATGAATCAAAAGTTGCTTCAGAAGCTGAAAACCTCAAGAATCAGAGAAGGAAATTCAATGGAACAGTATTTTTCTCTGAAGTTCCTCGCCGTTTTTTATTTTTTCAGATATTTTATCTCTTCATGTCTCTTCGGTCTGCCTTGCAAGGCAATTTAGGGTGCCTTTATAGGCAAGGGACTAGGGCAATAATAGATTTTAGTTTTTTGCACTTTGTCCCCTTTTGAATTCTCATTTTAGCTTAGGTGTCCCTCAATTACTGACTTATTAACCGAGTAAAACCTATTTTCAGCTTCTAGGAAGCTTCTTAAGCTGTTATTTGAGGGATTCTCTAAGTGGTCTACCCATTTTACCCCCTTAGACACCCTGTTTTTACCCTGAAGACCAACCAGACTTCGGGTATGGGTTATGAATCCCAAACGGGCCCAATGTTTCAATAAACATGGGCTCAGATTCAAGCCAAACAGAATTCCCTTAGAATGAGGTCTAGACTGACCTCGGAGCCCAAATAACAAAGGTGAAAACCAAACCAAATCAAAGCATGTGAAAGGGAGGCACTTAAACAAATTCAGAAAACTTAAAACCCAAACAAGTTGCCTAATTAATGATCACAATCAGGCGGGGAACTAATTTCTATTAAATTAAGCTAAGTGACCAAATCAGAGGTTCCAACAGGTAGTTAATAGAACTAGGCAAATCAGAAAACAAATTTGAAGAGAGGAAAAGAACAGAGGTGACACATAGATGATTTTGAAAACAAAAATGAAAAGGACTCACCGGCTAAGCTTGAAATCAAAACTGAGGCTCTGATTTAACCCAAAACAGTGGCGAATGTTTGTTCTTGGTGAAGAACAAACGAGTGTCACTATTTTGTGCCAAAACTAACTTGAACAAACCAGAAAATCCTTAAAAGTGACTTGCACGTGTGATTCCGACTTTAGGCTCTTAGGGCTCGACTCTTCGATTTGATATTCGAAGAGTTCCAGAGATGTTCGAAGGGATCTGAGTGAGGATTTGGAATGAGGGAGGGAAGGCGGTCTTAGGGTGTTAATTTGGGGGCGGTTTGGGGTGGTGCCGCCACCGGACAAGGTGGGATTTAGGGGCGGCGGGCTAATTAGGGTTTGATGAATTGGTCTCTGAAAGAGACGAGATGGGGGGGTGTGAAGGGTTAGGACAATAATATACCAAGGAGTCCCTACTTCAGGACCGTTCGATTAAAAGAACCTCGACGGCTCAGATTCGATCTAGCCTAAAACGGGGTCGTTTGGATAAATGGGGGGCCGGGTATTTTGGGAGTGGGTTTTGGGCCGGGTATGGGGATTGTTTGGACGGGTATTTGGGATTTGAGCCTGGGCAATTCACCACAGCAGCCCAGCCTGCTTTTTTCTCTTTTTTTTCCTTCTATTTTCATTTCTTTTCATTTGTTCCAAAAATTCTTTTCTTCTTTTTTTTTCGAAGTTAAGTAAAAATCTAAATTAATTCCTAGAACCTAATTAACCTAAAAAAATACTAATTAAACCTACATGATAATTATCACAATTAATTACAAGCAAATTAACAGAAAAACTACTCAAAATCAAGGTTAAAACTAAAAAATGCAAAATAAACTATTTTTGCGATTTTTCTTTTTTTAATTGCTGGTTAATTCCTAAAATGCAAAGTTAAATCCTAAATGCACGTGCAACACATTTTTTTTTATTTTTCATTAATTAAACAAAAATAAAAAAAAATGCACAGACAAATGCAAACAATTAACAAAAAATGCCACAAAAATTCACAAAAGTGCAAATAATGAAAAAAAATTATTTTGTTTTGAAATTATGGGAGTAATTCATATAGGAAAAAAATCACGTGCTCACAGCGGCTACTAGAGAGCTCAGATTTGACAGCTTAAGGAAACTTGAGGTACAACTGTTCAGCGCCCGCAGCTCCCGAAGTCCTCTTCTTGTTTTTATTTAGCTGTGTAACTTCTTTTCAGAAAGTTTTATGTTATTTTTGACCGTTGTATGTACTATTCTAGTATCTCGTGCACTTGTGGCACCAGATTCAGGGATTATTTACACTTAGAATATTTCAGTTATTTCAGTTCCTTATTAATGTTATCATTTAAACTGTTAAAAGAAGTAAATTGTTCTAACGTTGACTTGCCTAGCAAGTGAAATGTTAGGCGTCATCACGGTCCCGGCGGTGGGAATTCCGGATCGTTACAGTATTATTCAATTTCAAACTCATGTACATAATAAACTGAAATCTCCTCTATTTATAGAAGAAAGGAAGCTACTGTGTAAGCTGCTGCTACAAGCTGCTGTGTAAGCTGCTACTGTACCAGATATAAATAATCTTCTACCGATGGTAATGTTTATCCATAACGGAATACCGAAAGGATAAGCTCATTGTACCAGATATGGATAATCTTCTACCAGTGGCAATATTTATCTATAACGAAGTACCAAAAGGATAAGTTTCTTCAAGAGGGTTATTTTCAATAGAGCACTAAATAGATAAACATATTTACGGCGGAGTTCAGTATGAATAAGCTTCTTCGGGATCTCTTATCAAAATAAATTACAACTTCTATTTGTTTACTTTTCCACCCTGTTTTCCCTCAATCAAGCAGAAGAAAATTATTTTTCTACCATTTTTCCTCTTCCAAGGATCGAAACAAGTGTTAACTTTCATCCCATATTCTATTTTTTTTCCTCCCAAAAACACTTTTTTTTTTTTTATGCCATGATCTTCAATTTAGAGCAAATAATTCAGAAGAGCAGCAGCTTGCAAGATAAGATTTTTTTCGGCAATTTAAAGAGTTAAATGGACAGAACCATACAACAATAATAAACCTTGCAGAATCCGATAAATGGGGTCTAGGGAGGGTATTATGTACTCAGAACTTACCTTTATCTTATGAAGATGGAGAGACTGTTTTCGATTGAGCCTCGGCTATGGACAGAACCATGTAATTTTTTAATTTATTAAAAAAGTAACAGAAAAACTGAGTACTAATGGATAAAAAAGCCGTAGTATTCATCAAAATAGTCTCCTGCAGATGGTCATTCCATCACCTACAGTAACTTGAGAAATTTGAATGCGAGTATCAGCAGCAAGGAATCTGTTTAACTCAAGTAAGTATTTCCTTTCTGTTCTCATCAACTCGTCAACATTTTCCTCTGGCATCACAAGTGTTCCATACCATAGTGTGTTATCATACACTATCACACCTCCAACTTTCACCAACTGCATTAGTCTCTCGTGATAGTTTCCATAATTAGTTTTATCCGCATCAACAAATGCAAAGTCAAAACTATCTTTGTTTTCGTTCTGCAACGAATCAGGAAAAAGAAAATCACATTAAAGCATACGCGACATAGTTTGAGATTATGAGTTATAAATTGTTTTTCTCACATCTTCCAGGAGTTTGTCAAGAACAGGTAAAGCTGGAGAATCTTTAAAATCGATTTTATGTTCAACTCCAGCTTTTTGGATGACTGGTAGTCCCAATTCATAAGACTCTCGATCTGGATCAATGGCTATAATCTGCAATTTAATACATTTGCCAATTTTTTTACATATGTGTGAAGGTCATTTGGGGCTATATATAGTGATGATTTAACAGCATACTAACCTTGCCATCATCAGGAATTGTAAGAGCAGTGAGAAGCACAGAATATCCAGTGAAGACGCCGATTTCAATAGTCCTTTTGGCATTTATTAGATTCAAGAGCATGGCTATAAGTTGACCTGAATCCGGTGTTGCTCCCATATAAAACCTGGGGAAATAAGAAGCAGTCAGACTTCTCTATAACAGCATTCATATATAATAACACTTTACTATAAAAGCCAAGGTTTTTCCGGAACTAATTTTCATGTTATTATAATACATGTTCTCTATAACATCACTTCTCTATAACATCAAAAAATATTTGGAACAAACGAGGCTGTTATAAAGACTGTATAATTTTGTAACATGGAATAAGTGTCTGTGATTTATACACCAGCTTCCTTTAACTTAAAGAAATAAATCCTATTATTTTACGTATAAGTTCTGCATGTACGAACAGATTAAGGCAGCTAAATAACTTGTGTTTGATCAATTCGGGTTTCCAAAGAAGCTGAACTTATCAAATACATGCATTTATTTCTTGTTAAGTGTTTTCGACGATTAAACAACAACAATATATCCAGTGTAATCCCACAATTGGCGTGTAGGGAGTGTAGTATGTACACAGACCTTATCCCTACTTTGTGAAGATAGAGAGGTTGTTTTCGGTAGATCATCGGCTCAATGAAAGCATAATCATAGCGGTTATGATAAAGAAATACGACAGTGGAGAACCAATTAGATGATTAAACAAACTCATAAAAGAAAATTACTCTGGATGATTTGCTGTTATAGCCCTTAACTCTTTGAGAGGCTCTGGTTCTCGTGGATAAACACTAGTCTCCAAAACATACTGGCAGCGTTTCAAAAGAAATGATAATTAGTATTGAAAAAAAAAGGGGGGAGGGGGAAAAAAAGAATCTGAAATAAAAATGTGTACCCGATACAATTCTTCACTCTGCAATAAACCCTTATCATCCCACGGTGAACCTTCATCCTGTAAAAATAATCAAAAAATAATCGATAGAGCCTAAGTATCTGAGATGCTAGCTCTATAAGTACAAGATAGGATTATGCATATATTTATACCTTCACCGGCTATTTTGATTTTAAGTGGTTGGGTGAGGCGGCTATTTGGATTAATTCTTCGTTATATAATTATGCTGAAATTGAAAATGTGGGGGTGGGGGGGGGGGGGGGTGTCGGAAGCTTGACCTACAAAGTGTTGAATGCGTTTAAATGATAATTCTAGTATGAAGTTTCAACTTCCAACCAAAGAGGACCACATGCTCATTAAATTTATTTCCAATTGAAGGAACTGCTCAATTAAAGTATGGTATTTAAAGTTTGTGGTTGGTCCATATTTGTCCAGATATAATCCTTTACTACAAAATTATTAATGAAATTGGCCATGTGCAATGCCAAATCCAGAAAACAAAGGAAGCCATGTGTTTTTTTGTCTTTCTTATAAGTTACTACTAAAAATTAAATATCTGAATTAATCAATATATAAATGTTTTATATTATATAGTAAGATGTCAAATAAGGAAACAAGCAAAGAAGGAGCAGACATAGGATGAAGAAATAAACCTTATCAGAAGCCTTAGGTTGCAGATTCATCGTCGTCCTCAGCATATTATAGTTAGGGACAGGCGAAAATCCCAGCTTTTTGGGTTGCGAAATTCCATTAATCCGCCGCAATGATTGTTTTGTATAAATCGTATTTGTAGCAGCAAAGTTAGGAGCTCCAACATACGCCATGTTTTTCAGAATAGATAACCTTCGTTTACTCTCTCAACTCTAGCTTTCCTACTATTGCATCTTAAATCCTGCTCAATCTAAAGCTTCTAGCTTTATCTCTCTGCAAAATTATGTTGAACTCTGCTAAAATCAAACGGAAAGCTCAATCATTTATGGTTATTCGGCCAATCAAAGCTCAGAGAAAGAGTGTAGCAGCTAAAGGATAGGAATCCGGAGCTGCTGTGTCGGCATTTGACAGTATTGTCACCAACCCCAGCTTCGGTATCCACGTGTTTTATTCCTATTTGGCATTAATACCACGTTTTTTCCTTTCTTAAAAGATATTTTTTTGGAGGTTTTATGCAAATGGAAGAGGTAGGTTGAACTTAGGTGGGTCAAAAATCAAAATGGGTTTAGTTTATAAATGAGTTTGGGTTCATTTGTCTAAAGTTATTTGAGTAAAGATATATTGAACTAATTTTGAGATTGTTAATTTGTGAGTTCTGAGCTACACAGACTGACATGCAGATTAGACAATCACCATAGCCATCTAGGGCATAGAATATGTGAGATGAAGAGAAGGAGAAGGGAGAAAGGAATAAGCGTGTATTAGAAATGAATTGTGTTACAATTTTGCTCTAACAGTGCTTCTTCTAACCGACTCTAATAGTCCCAACTAATTGACTCCTCTAACTTTCCTATATTGTTAAAAAGACCCCTAACTCCTTGTGGCTACATTTCTCTTCAATACTCCCCCTCAAGCTGGAGAGTGGAAGATATCTAACACTCCCAGCTTGGATAATAAGAGATGATGCTGAGCAGCTCCCAAGCCTTTAGTCATTAAATCTGTCAATTGTTGTTTGGTGGATACATATTCAGTAGTGATGAGCCCTGACTTGATCCTTTCCCTTACAAAATGGCAATCAATTTCTATGTGCTGGTTCTCTCATGAAATATGGGATTGACTGCTATTTGCAAAGTAGCTTTGCTGTCATAATGTAGATGTATCGGTTTGATCACATTGTTACCCAATTCCTCCAGAAATCCAACCATCCATATTGCTTCTGCAACAGCTGCTGCCATGCTTCGATATTCTGCTTCTGCTGATTGTTTGCTGCTTCTTGGACTTCCAAGATAGCAAGGAATCTCCCAGTTTAACTATATACTCTGTGGTCGACCTTCTAGTATTAGGGCAAGCTGTCCAGTCTCAGTCGCAAAATACTGTCAGGTTATATGTCTCGCCCTTTTTTAGTAAAATACCCAAGCCTGGAGATCCCTTGATATATCTCACTACTCTCAAGGCTGCATCCATATGCGATTGCTTAGGATTCTGCATGAATTGACTTAACACTTGCACAGCAAAACTTATATCTGGTCTTGTGATGGTTAAGTAAAGCAATTTTCCTATCAATTTTTGATAGTTTCCAGCATCCTCCAATATTCTATCTCTTGTGCTTCCAACATGGATGTCATAGTCCACAGTTGTCAGCTTACGATTGAGTTCCATTGGAGTTGTAACTGGCCTGCATCCACTCAAACCAGCCTCTGAGATGAGCTCCATGACATATTTGCTTTGGTTCATTACAATTCCTGCTTGTGATCTTAAGACCTCTATTCCAAGAAAGTATCTAAGCTGCCCCAAATCCTTTACTCTGAAATTGTGGTGAAGAGTCTGTTTGACTTCTACAATCATACTTTGAGAATTCCCTGTTATCAACAAATCATCCACATACACTAGGATGATCACAATGTTGTTCTCACTTTTCTTGGTGAAGAGTGAATGATCATATGAGCTCTGAGAGTACCCAGTTGTAGTAGAGCATTTGTAAGTTTAATGTTCCATTGCCTCGAGGCTTGTTTCAAACCATATAGGGATTTCAACAGTTGACATACTTTATACTCCCCCTGTTTGTGAAATCCCAGAGGTAAATCCATGTAGACCTCTTCAGTATGATCACCTTGTAGGAAGGCATTGTTGACATCCATTTGAAGCAAAGGCCAGCCCTTGGAAACATCAACACTGATAATTGTTCTCACTGTAACCATTTTAGCCACAGGTGAGAAAGTTTCTTGGTAATCTAATCCAGATTGTCGTGTGTAACCTTTAGTCACCAATATAGCCTTGAACCTGTCTACCTCTCCATTTGCCTTGTACTTTATTTTGTAAATCCATTTGGAGCCTATGGCTTTCTTCCTAATGGGCGGATCAAAAACCTCCCACGTATGATTGTCTTCTAGTGCCTGTATCTCCTCTTCCATTGCTTTTATCCACTGTGAATCTTGTGTTGCTTCTTTGAAGAATCTAGGTTCCACCAGGACTGAAAAAGCTTATAGATAGGCTTGATATGCTGTAGTGAGATGATCATATCTGCCATGATTTGAGATTGGAAACCTGCAATTTCTAGATAACTTTGTAGAAGTCACATAGTATTTCATCCATATAGGGGGAGTTGTTCTTCTGGGTTCTCTAGTGGCAGGTTGTGTAGGTAGGTCAGTTGCATCTGGTGCAGATACTGGCTCAAGTAGTGGAATCTCTTCTGAGACTTCATCTGATGGTGAACTCTAAGTGTCTGGTAAGTTCAGTTGCTCCAGTGTTGGAGAAATTGGCTCAACTCCTTCAGATTCTACTTCTTCAGATTCACCTGCATGTGAATTAATATTATCATGATTCATATGTAACATAATGTCTTCTTAAGGCATGACTGGTATAGGTGGTGAGTTAGGAATGTGTTCCTCCACTGAGATGGGCTGTTGAAGGAACATATCATCTGCTGTCGCGCCCCTTTTTCTCGCAAAATCGGGTTTCGACATGTGATAACTCTTTTAAGAAAGGGTTTTAAAAGAGAGAGTCGCCACCTAAGGGATTAAGGTGCGTTAGGGCACCTATTTACAAATAACTCTATTTGACTAGTCAATGTCACCAAAGATCGGGTAAGGGCTCGAAATTACCTCGAAGAGAAGGTTTTAGGCACTCTTCGAGATCCATAAATGTGGGTCCCGGCCGAACTCAATTATATGAATTAGTCTAAGAGATCAAGTACATGAAAAACAAGGAATTTGGGAAGTTGATTATTGAACACAAATAATTAATGAAAGACGAGGTAGGGGTCCTAAGTTTTTTAGCCTAAAGGATCACCCCGTGAAACATAAATAATACTTCGCAACTCCCTCAAGGTGGGGTGTTACTCATATTATTCAGCGGGGCACAGACTATCATCTCCTGCTACCCGATTATTATCTTTAAGTTGTTACCTAAAGCGCACTAGTTGGTTCTAAACCGTACCCTATGCGTGCACTACCCGTCTCATGCCTATGGTCCGGGAGGCTTTGGACCTCTATTTAGGTAGTTCTAGACGTCAACTTAGGCTGCTCAAAAATGATAAAACCAATCGTCATGCAAAACATGTTGGACTTCATATAAAAGCAGTTAAGGGCTCAAGTTAGCCTCCACACTTAAACAGCAAATGCACGCAGATTAATTAACATAGACAGATTTTAGACGAGTTAAGGTTGTAGAATCCTATAGGCAGGATCTCTATGTGATCCTGCAATAGTTTCAGATGTAAAGTCTTTCTAAAAAAACCTACGTAGTTGCCTACTGATTACAAGCAAAAGAGATTAAAACCTATAGGCATGATGTCTAGGTGATTCACGCAGTAATTAACTATGATGGTAGCAGGAGTATATTCAGGATTACTTAGTCGAGTCTTATGGGCATGGTTTCTAGTAGTGATAATTGGCACAGTGTTAAAAACTCTTTATAGAAGCAAGCAGGACGATAATTAACACTGATTTTAGACCCTATAGACAGGATTAAACTGATTTTAGATCCTATAGGCATGATTTCTCTAGTTAAAAGATAAATTCTGATCCTACAGGCGTGATATCTAAATCATAAGTTATGCAGTGTGTAAGTTAACAGAATCCTACGCACATTGAGATATTAATTATTCGATATCCTATAGGCATGATTTCTAACAGATGAAAGCAAAAGACATTTCTGAACCAAATTAAGATCCTATGGGCAGGATTTCTAATACGAAACGACTGAACATGTTTGAGTATAATGGCATATTTTGAGTAAAATAGAATACCTATAGGCAGGATTTCTACCCACAAATGTAAAGTAAAACCCCTTCCCCAATTTTACTAATACCCCAAAATGTTATTACAAGAATTATTACAGCCCCAGAATGAATAGAGTAAATTACAGAAATAAACAACTATAGGGAGCCTACAGTAGGCCCAAAGATACACCTGGCCAAGCCAGGCCTTCATTCCATGATTCACAATATCCTAGAAATTATATCTTCATGCACATGAGGCAGCCAGGAATTAAGTGATTCACTCAGTGGGTATAAGACAGAGTGGAGCATAGAAAACCAAGACCCTAGTGCGTCAGAGTTCCCAAGGGCTTCAAGAACCTAGGGCAATGCTCACACTAGAGAGGTTAACAGAGATAACTCAGAGGGGAAGACTAGGGACCAAGTCCTAGTGCGCCAAAGTTCACAAGGGTCTCACATGAACCTAGAGCAGTGCTCACAATAGAGAGGTCAAAGGACAGCGCCCAAGTAGCCTTGGCTTTCCGCCGGCTAAGAATTCAAAAGTACTAGACAGTAAGGGAGTAAAATGAGGTTGAGGGGGACACCACTGAAGGGCAGAACCAAATTGAGCACACAAAAGATAATAGACATACTTGGATTTAAGACAGACTTAGCCAAGTTTTAGGAAATGAGTTCGATCACATAATGCACATGTTAACAAGCCAGATTGCAAGACAGATTCATGGTGAGAGAAGAAAGAATTTAGATTATGTTAAGTACAGAAAGCCAGTGTCACAAGAAAAAATCATATCCATTAGCAATATGACCTAACATGTTGAGAACTACTTAGGACAATTACTGGGAAGTCAGAACAGGATCAAACAAGTCACATCACAGCAAATTCAGAAACAAACTGGTTACATACTTGAAGAATACATTCATGCTTAGTCAACTAAAAAGGATAGGAGGGCTAGCAGCAAACTTAAACTTTCAAGAGATGGCTATCAGTAACACATAGGCTAGGTAGAGTCTAAGGGAATTGACCAACTCCAAGCAGGTCTAAACATGTTTCAAATCATAAACGTAATGACATTTAGATTAGCAAAGTCATGAACTGAAGTAGGACAATTAGAACAAGCCAAAAACATATCGAGCAAGAATCTTCAGAAGTGAAAACACATGTTATTGTCAGGCAA